GCGGGTTAATTTGTGCCCTTTTTCAGACCAAAGTACAGAGTCAACTTGTACATGTTTGTAAATAAACTATACATGCGTGTACGATCGGACGCGTAGCTTATGTGGTCCACCGTCAACGGCTGAACTTGTACACATGTTTTACAATGCAGGTAAAAGATTCAAGCGCTGATCGTACGGTCGGTCTCTAAAGTGCACATGGGCTAATCTCAGGTTTATTTTTCGAGCTAGTTTGAGATGAAGAAGCAATTTCGAGCTGCGGGATAATATCCCGAGTCTGAAAATAGCAGGTTATTTGGCAAACTCAAGCTGATGAAAACAGACCTACTTTGTGACCTAGTATTTCATAGTTGATTGAGTGAGATGAAAGGCGAAGGAGATTGTGTAGATATGGTGTGTATGTGGTGTGTAAGGAGACAGGAAGAAAGGAGAATAGAAAGGAAGTTATGAAGACTCCTTTCACACCTCATTCAACCATGCTTGTTTTTATTACTGAATAGCTATAACAAAGAGAGACCACTAGTAAATATCATGGGAAACCTGAATACAAATATCATGTTGTATGCAATGCAGAGACCTGGGCATTATATGCATGCATACTTCTGCAGGCCTATACAAATCAAGTCTGTGTATAATGCCTTACTGGCTACAAACAGATGATATGGAAATACCATACATATAGAAATATAAATTCAAAGACACCTCCTGAGAAGAAATTTTGAGATGAAACTGGCCGAGTGTTCCGTCATCCCAGAGACATGCTGGTATCCCAAACTATAAATATTGTTTCACAACATAATATACATTCTATTGAATTATCAGTAGTTACTTTAATAAAGTATAGGCCTACTTAATATATGAATTTATGTTTCATATCCTTAGTGCTTATAAATTATACAAGGCCTTGAGTGACACACTGTGAAACTAAATCAATTACATTCAATTAATTGGTTGCACATTAATGGAATAGAGACTATATATCTACATGATTTAATATACATGTAGCTGTGTTTCTTTCCAAGGTATTTACAAGTATATTGCTTAATATACAAGCCAAGTTTAACTGGCATTGCATATTTTGAAAAAGGGATGGAAGACCTTTAATTAAAAGGAAATCCAACTTTAGTAGCAAACTAGTCGAGAGGAAAGCAGAAAACTCAGAGAAGAAGACTGGGGAAAGTTTGAATGAAATCACACAAAATATTGAGAAAGTTATTAATTTTTAAAAGTTGTAATCACTATAGAGGACTCTTTAAATTGGCTGAATCGGTAATGTCTCTTTGATGTAGTGGCAACCAACTTTCCCATTTGTTCCAACACACAAAATGACTAAAAGATTCAACTAAAACAAATTATAACTCTGGAGGGTCTATTCTCTTTGAATGACCTTTCATAATATATGCTATCTGTAATACAATTTGAGTAAGGGAGAAAGTATGGTGGCCCTGAAGGGACATCGCGAATAGACTAAATCGTGAAAAATATGCGATAAAATTCACGATATCGTCAATTTTATCGCATATTTTTCACGAAGAAATTCACGAAATTGACGATATCGTGAACTTTATCGTGAACTTTTCACGATGAAATTGACGATATCGTGAATTTTATCGTGAAAAGTTCACGATATAAAGTTCACGATATCGTCAATTTTATCGTGTACTCTATCGTGTACTCTATCGTGTACTCTCCTGACGGGCGCTTCGTAAACAAAACCAGCCCTAGCTGGGGGAGACAGAGAGAAGGAAAAAAGGGAAAGGGAAAGAGAAGATAAAAGGAAAGAAAGAATAATAAGAAGAAAAGAGGGGGGGGGGGGGGGGGGGGGGGGGGGGGGGGGGGGGGGGGGGGGGGGGGGGTCGAAGGGCTCTTGCCTCCTCCTCACTCCCCCCCCCCCCCCCCCCCGCCAAAAAATAAATCAGAGAGAGAGAGAGAGAGAAGGGAAAGGGAAAGGGAAAGAGAAGATAAAAGGAAAGAAAGAAGAGGAAGAAGAAGAAAAGAGGAAAACGGGGGAAGGGCGAAGGACTCTTGCCCCCCCCCCTTCCCCCCCCCCCACCAAAAAATAAATCAGAGAGAGAGAGAGAAGGGAAAGGGAAAGGGAAAGAGAAGACAAAAAGGAAAGAAAGAAGAGGAAGAAGAAGAAAAGAGGGAAACGGGGGCAAAGGGCTCTTGCCTCGTCCCCCGCCCCCCGCCAAAAAATAAATAAGAGAGAGAGAGAGAAGGAAAGGGAAAGAGAAGAAAGAAAGAAAAACAAAAAAGAGGGAGAATAGGAAAGAAAGGAAAAGAAAGAAAAGAAAGGAGGCAAGAGCCCTTCGCCCCTGTTTCCCTCTTTTCTTATTCTTTTTCCTCTTCTTTCTTTCCTTTTATATTTTCTTTCCCTCTCCCTTCTCTTTCCCTTTATGGCGGGAGGGGGGAGTGGGAGGTAAGAGCCTTTCGCCCTTCCCCCGTTTCCCTCTTTCCGTCTTCTTCTTCTTTCTTTCCTTTTATATTTTCTTTCCCTTTCCCTTTCCCTTCTCTCTATCTCTCTCTCTCTCTCTCCTATTTATTTGTTGGCGCGGGAGGGGGGGGGGGGAGGAGGCAAGAGCCCCTCTTTTCTTCTTATTCTTCTTCCTTTCCTTTTTTATTCTCTTTCCCTTTCCCTTCTCTCTCTCTCTCTCTCTCTCTCTTATTTATTTTTTGGGCGGGGGGATGCAAGAGCCCTTCGCCCCCGTTTCCCTCTTTTCTTCTTCTTCTTCCTCTTCTTTCTTTCCTTTTATCTTCTCTTTCCCTTTCCCTTTCCCTTCTCTCTCTATCTCTTATTTATTTTTTTGGCGGGGGGTGGGGAGGGAGGAGGCAAGAGCCCTTCGCCCTTCCCCCATTTCCCTCCTTCCTTCTTATTCCTCTTCTTTCTTTCCTTTTATATTTTTTTTTCCCTTTCCCTTCTCTCTCTTATTAATTTTTTTGGCGGGGGGTGGGGAGGGAGGAGGCAAGAGCCCTTCGCCCTTCCCCCGTTTCCCTCTTTCCTTCTTATTCCTCTTCTTTCTTTCCTTTTATATTTTCTTTCCCTTTCCCTTCTCTCTCTTATTTATTTTTTTGGCGGGGGGGGGGGGGGGGGGGGGGAGGTAAGAGCCTTTCGCCCTTCCCCCGTTTCCCTCTTTCCTTCTTCCTCTTCTTTCTTTCCTTCTATATTTTCTTTCCCTTTCCCTTTCCCTTCTCTCTCTCCTTATTTATTTTTTGGCGGGGGGGGGGGGGGGGGAGTGAGGAGAAGGCAAGAGCCCTTCGCCCCCCCCCCCCCCCCCCCCCCCCCCCCGTTTCCCTCTTTTCTTCTTATTATTCTTTCTTTCCTTTTATCTTCTCTTTCCCTTTCCCTTTTTTTCCTTCTCTCTGTCTCCCCCAGCTAGGGCTGGTTTTGTTTACGAAGCGCCCGTCAGGAGAGTACACGAAAGAGTACACGATAAAATTGACGATATCGTGAACTTTATATCGTGAACTTTTCACGATAAAATTCACGATATCGTCAATCTCATCGTGAAAAGTTCACGATAAAGTTCACGATATCGTCAATTTCGTGAATTTCTTCGTGAAAAATATGCGATAAAATTGACGATATCGTGAATTTTATCGCATATTTTTCACGATTTAGTCTATTCGTGATGTCCCTTCAGGGCCACCATAAGAAAGCAATGAAGAGAAACACAGAAATAAATGATAGTTTTGTACACAACAAACGGGAGAGTCATCCTCGACTATAAAGTCACAATCAACTGCTCAAACTAGCAATGTGAAATTAGCATAGACTTTAAGTGATCTCATTTTCGTAAACAATCATAACTTACTTATTATTAGTCCAATTTATTTCAACTTTTTCGCCATTACAAATAAACTCTTTACTAGGGTTGGATTACCCTTTAAAATCATTCCTCTTGATGAGAGAGAGAAAGAGAGATAATAAATTCAGAGCAGATTTATCTGCTAGTGTCTTGTTTAATTGTCTAACATGCAAGAAATCTGATTATTATTATTTTATTTGGGGGTAGGGGGGGGGGGGTAACCAAAACTGCACAAAATGGCTCTAAATGCACAATTCCAAAAGCTTCATATTAAGTCACAATTTTGTTACCAATATTTATATTTAAAAAAGATTGCTTTAAATTCAGACCAAAAATGTATGCACAAACCATACCAATACTTGTCAGATTTGATTTGTAAAGTACATGAACTCTTATCAATAAAGCTTTTACATGTTTGTTTCCTAATACGTAAAGTGGTTTACTGTTGGTCAAATCACTCCAAGGAATCAGAGAATCTGAGTGAGTGAACACCTCAACTCTCACCAGACATCTCCCTACCCACCTCTACCATTACAACGAGGATACCCAGAAATCGGGTCAAATATGCATTGCTTTGTGTATCTTTCTTCAAAAGGCTTTCTTCAATACTTTGACTTTGCTCAAGTTGAAAGACAGCTGTCTAGACAAGACTCTCCTTTCAATATCCAACCATTAAAGGTGAAACTGAACTTTATATGAAGCATGGCCAGTAGGGTGTGCTGTATTTCAAATTTCTGTGAATTTTTAACACAATATTGTTCATTTGAAAATGCTTTTAAGATACCTTTTATCCTACCTCAAAATATTAAAGGAGGCAGGCCTACAAAAAATGAATAAGATCTTCAATAATATTCCTCTAATATACAGTCAAATATTCAACTTTCCTTTCAGAATTGCTTTTAAAACTGAAACTCTAAATAAATACATGTAAATTCATTAATTCAATGAATGGTATAAATACAGAGTTGATAATTGACTCAATGACCTTTGATATTGAAGCAAGTAAACACAAGACAATCTTGTAAGGTAAGGTGATAGGCATCATGCAAACATGGCTATGGTTTCAGAGAATAAGGAAAGAAAAATATCAATGCGACAAGCAGCAGTAATAATGGACATGATTTTACTGTTGAGATAATTTAGATTGGTTGTATACATGTAGTTTAAAAGATGAAAAGTAAAGAGAAAGAAACTAACCTGAAGAGCTGTTAACCATTGCATCATACTCTTATGATTTTCTGCAGTAAGAATGTGTTCCTTTCCTCCACTCCTGGAATGATAAAGAGAAATACAATGATAACACGTTAGGATCCACTCCACACATGGCTTAGTCATACTTTGTCACCTTCGTCCCTCAAATATTTATCAACTCAGTGACAATAGGCCTGTCTTCACTAGCTCGAGATTGCCAAATATCCAGCTATTTGAACTTTCCCGATCGCAAACTATCCAGCTAATTTGCGTCTTCATCAGACCGAAGTAGCAATTAGCGGGATATTTGGTCGGGATTGTCATCCCAAGATATCTTGGGATAGTTTGCAAAATATCCCAATATTTGGCAAAATATCCAGCTATTTGTCCGGTGCGTCTTCACCCGACTGAAGACTCGCACTATGCGCTAACGCTGAGCAAAATATCTCGAGCTAATTTCTCAAGGTCGAGTTTCAAGTTTCGAGGTCGAATCTCGAGCTGATCGATGAAGACGCGATTTGTAACTTCAGGATTATCTCCCAAATCAGAAATAGCGTGCTATTTGGCAATCTCGAGATGATGAAGACGCGCCTAGTGACAATGGGCTTATCTCCTAGACATGCACAGATAAGACAACAGTTCAGGTTAGTTCTTATCAGCATTGCTCAATATCAAACTCAATGTATTCAAAAGGAATGAGGTGACTTGAATCATTGCACTGAACATGAAATAATGGCTTTCAAACACAGCCACTTCTACCACTTCTCAATGAAAACATGTAGGACTGAGTCTAGAATTGAAAGACTATAACTACTCTCCTCTACGGGTTAGTTTCCGACACAAGACTGTGTAGTCTGTGTAACTCTTTTTCAGCTGAGAGCTAGGTGCCCTGTAAACCAATCTGGCAGAAATCCATAAATAGATTAAAGGGCAATCCAACCCTTGTAATAAATTCATTTGTACATAAGATGAATGGCGAACGTTTTATATAAATCAGACCAATAATAACAAAGTTTATAAATGTTTGAATTATGATATCCCTAATTTTATGTGAATTTCAAATTGGTAGTTTGATCAGTGGACTGTGACGTAGTTGGGGATGAATATCCCATTTGTCCATGTAATGTACAAAAATATCATTAATTTGTGTATTTCTTAAGGTGCCTTCTCTCCCTGGCTCCTATCATGGATAATTATTATAGGTCCTATAAAGAGAATAGACCCTCCAGAGTCATACATTTTTTTTTAAATTGAAATGTTAGTCATTTTGTGCATTAGAACAAATTAAAAAGTAGTCCGCCACTACATCAAAGAAAAATTACCAATTCAGCCAATTTGAAGAGCCCAAATCTATAGTGATTACAACTTTTTAAATTCATAACTTTCTCCATATTTCGTCTGACTTAATTCAAACTTTCCCCAGTCCACTTCTTTTATTTTCTGCCTTCCTCTAGAGTAGTTTGCTATCAAGGTAGGATTTACCTTTAAGGAACCACTACATCTAGAGCTTCCTTCAGCATCATATTACATTTATCACAGGCTGAGCTTTCTCTAATGACTTTACTACCATCATGTGACTTGACATGATAGATTAATGTAGGCATACACATTGGTGAATCTGGAGGGAGGGGGCACCACATCCCCCCTCCCCCCCCCCACCAAAATTGTTGAGTAAGGACACACATGAAATGCAATGACATTGTTTTTCTTGCTTGTACCCAAGAATGCCAACTCACATAATCATAGTATGCAGAGTCACACAAGAATACATAACAACATTAGTCATTGTTTAATGATAACAGCCAGATAGAGCTCTTCATGTCTTGGCCAATATATGAATTGATCTTCTGAGCATGCATTGTTTATTGTGCACAGGTGTTCAACAGAACAACTAATATGAATCACATTCCCTCTGCTCTGCAGGTGAACATGCTATGAGTATGACCATGCACATGTAGTAGTAGGTCCATACTATGACTGAGCTGAGGCAATCCATACTGTTAATACATAAGAATTCCATTCACGCAGATGTTCAACAAACATTAATCAAACATTTCAAATATGTATTTATGCAGGGCTCGATACTATTACTAACAGGTGCCCGGACTCCAAACAATCTAAATCCAGACCTCTTCCCAAAAAGTTAGTGGGAATTTCTAATTTATGCACAATTAAATGGTATTAAACATTTGAAACTTTGTAACCATATCTGATTCTACTCACTCTGCTCACACCCTCTGATACAATGTAAAGCTTACATCCACATCCACGGAGCTGCTTGTTTGTTACTCCACTAGCTGGGTCAACACAATATCACCCAAGAATACACCTAGCTACTAGACATATCTCACAATACAAAAAAATGATATGCAGAATATCCCAGGGAATTCGACACATACCAAATGCTTTACTCCAACCCCAAATATACAATGTGTGACGATGTGTCTCGTATTACAGGCTTGTCTCCAGGGCCTGCAGACGGCCTGCAGACGGCCTACAGACGACTCGGCAAGTAATATGAGTAATATGAGAATATACCAGTCAGCACAAAATGGGTTGCCAGAAAGAATATTCTTCTCTTTAGAAACCTGTATGTACGAGAGAAGAAGCACCTCTACAACAAAAGGATTGAGTGATAAAAGAAATACCTCTATCATCCAATCAGGAAGGTGACGCCTTGACACATGTCAATGTCATCTGATTGAAGCCAGAAGGGCATTAATGCTTTGTCAAAATGATGTAACACCCTTCTGGCTCCAAACAGACAATATGAAAGACTGTTTGATTTCTCACTAGAAACCAAGAATGAATTATAATCTGTAATAATATTGTACTAGCAGTAAAACCTAATTTGCTTTCTAGGTATTTAAATTTGTCTGCCTGAATGATTTTAATAAGATGTTATTTCGATATATCTCATTAATCCCACCGCACACTATACGATCTACCTGCGATCTGATTTTGGATGAAATGGAAATCATATTAGATTTAGAAATCTAAACAGACATCATCTTCCTGATGTACATGTACATGTACCTGTAGGTTCCAAATAATAATACTAACAACTAGAATTTTTATGCATAAAAAGCCTGCTAGTCGGAATAAAAACGCCTAACAGCCTTCGTTGACAATCTCAATACTGGTATGACCTCACTATGATTTTGTGCAGATGTACATACATGTACATGTACTTGGCTTATGCCTACAAGAGAACTATCTTAAATTTACATGTACATGTAGGGTAATTACTTTATAGCCAAAAGCTTGAACTAAATACCAAGGTTGGCGAAGTATTTTATCTATTAAAGCCAAACTGAGTAAAACACTTATATTTCTAACGTAAGTAATGGCCCTAGCCTACACTACAATCTATTGAATAAATCTCCTTACACAGAAGCTTAGAAATGAATTATGAATTTAGGTGTGAGCATGTGTTATTATTCTATGCCTAGTAGAGCTGAAACCTTCTCTTTTTCACCATCCTTCATGTATATTTGATAAGCTAGCTTACACATACATTACCCAATAACCTATTAATAAATCCAAACAAGTCAAATATAGTGCATGGTGGTGAGGATGACCACAGGCTGAGAGTAATCAAGTCTAGTGGTTGACAGCACCACGTGGGCTGCTCTGATGACGTTCAATAAATCAAACTTTCACAAATCACTACGTCATCACAACGCCTCAGTAGGAAAAACATTGTTAGAATAGACGTAGTACACCCTCTATCTTGTTGCTATCAATCTAATTGTAGAGTTCCTCTTTAGAAGAGTTGAAATGGTGGGCCATGACCGGAAATAACTGACCACAGAGTGGTTGTATTTCATTAATGAATGATAGTACAAGTAGCTACACACAGGTTATAAACAAATACCTTGTACTCTTTACTGGGACTCTGCATGAAGAAAATGGAGAAATATTTATAAACTCTATTCGAGATAAGAAATCATGTTTTCAAACATTTTTTGAGACTACAATTTACAAACAGTCAATGGTAATTGCTCTACTGAGCTTTGTGACATTGAATGCATTGATTACTATGAGATGTGACCACAGATATAATCACATTGAGGTCAGCTAATCTTTATGCACATGTTGTCATTTTGGAGCATTCATTTTGATTACATTCAACAACTATTATGACAAAAATCACATTCTCTGCTAGCTATTCTTAGATAATCAATACCGGTAGTTTATTTTTATATTGTAATATTCTATAAGGTATCATGTGTTTGAGTTCTGAAGGGCATTAACTCATATCAATAACAGAGTTACTACCCTTCTGGATCATAACAGGCAGTACAGTACAAGTATTCATTTCCGCAATTCTAGCTAGCCGATAAGGCTGAAATCAACATTCCATTTTAATTCATCAAATCCTGTTATATGGGATATACTAGTAGGCTAATTAATGAACTATTTTTCACAGGCTGAACTTACAACTGTACTTGCCAAATGCCAATACATCCTAGTATGCTGATGTTAGTAAAGATTTGATATTTATATATGAACTAAAACAATAACTTTATCAATCAATACCAAACCCTTTTCTGATCATTAAATTAAACAACAACAAAAAATATTACAAAATGTCATATGTCATTATTTATAGTGAAAAAGTAGTAAATAAGGTAGTTGTGATAATAGAAGTGTGCCATTTTCAATAATCTTCTGCTTGTATAGGTCTTTGTACAAGAACAAAATAAAAATTCACTGATGAAGGCATCACTGCATTTTGTCTAGTAGTAGTAAATATCAAATATCACGCAAAGATTTTAAACCATTTTAATACAAGGTTTATACCTCACCAACATAGGCATTTTATATCAACAAAAATCAAAAGTTATGTCCTTTTTTTTGTTTTGAAAAAATACTAGAATGCAAAACAAGTTTGGTCAATCATTTGGGTGTCATAAGCATAAATCTTGGCTTGTATTCAATCTATGCCTAATTATATTCATAACCTATTTCCAGCTGACCTACTAAGCTAGTTTTCATTGCTTGCTCTAATTCAGTTAACCCTCCAGCAGTTGTTACAAGGACTGTCATCAAATCATCAATACATTGTTAGAAGTA